TTTTTTTTTTAAAAAAAAAAGTTCCACAGTTATCTGACTGCCATATCTTAGGCCACTGAGATACAGTTCAAAACTGTAGGTCTAATCATAAGAAAACCAGGTAAGAGCACAAACCCACTACTTAATAGCCCTTATTTAAATCGAGTTTACCATGTTTTATATCAATTTAACTTTGGGCATCTACATGAAGTATGTACATATACAAAGTAATGTGATGGGAAAGTTTTTCTACTCCTCCACTGGAGGTCTATATATTTTAAGGTGGATGTGGAATTGATTCATCAATTCCACTTATTTTAATGCCTCTTTGTCTGCGTTGTTGTTTTTTTTAAAAAAAATTCCTGCTATTTGATATAGCGCTATACTGGATAGCAATAATTTTAAAAAATAAAATAAAAACAATGCAGTCTGCTGTCCAAAGCCCCTGTCAGCTGACTGGCTTTGTTTGGATGCTGGGAAGAAGAAGGCAGTGGTGGCAGTGGCAGCGATGAGGATGCACACACCGACTCAGAAGTCACAAGATTTTACAGAGAATTCAAAAGCAATGACCCTTCTGAGTTATTTAATTGTTTAATTATCCAATTAATTATCCAATTAATTAATTAATTAATTAATCAATCAATCAATCAATCAATCAATCAATCAATCAATCAATTAATTAATTAATTAATTAATTAGTACCCCACCCCTCTAGACCATGTCTACTTGGGGCGGGTTATTTCATCAAGGGAACCAGGCCCTAAGTCACCATCAGGAACTGGTTGAAAGTAAGACAATCCCTAAAGAAGCTACTAGGAAAGGTAAAGGATGAGGATATTCTCATAGACAATTATTGTTTGCTGTAATCCTAGCCATTACACCTTCTAAGAAAGTTCAGCCTTTCTTTTTAAACAGCCAACATTACTTCTTTCAGGCTTGAATGCATACCAATGTTTGGATGTATATCAGGACTTTGCAAGTATTTGTAAAACATGGAATGGTGCTTGTGTAAGGAGTGAGAAATGGTCTTACAGATGTGTAAGTTCTTGAAAGCATGTCACACGGCTCAGTGCCCAGTAGAAATTATGATTGGAGAAGAATTACAATTCTTGTACAATAAACTCATACTTTATACACCCGTGGAACACCTCCTCCTCCTTATCATCCTGCTCAGGGCCTTTTTCACATCTTTATTCCTCAGACTGTAGATCAGAGGGTTTACCATGGGAATCACCATAGTATAGAAGACAGCAGCAACCTGGTCTTGTTCTTCAGAGGACCTAGAAGTGGGCTTCAGGTAGATGAAAAGAATAGTTGTATAGAATAAGGTGACAGCCATCAAATGGGAGGCACAGGTGGATAAGGTTTTCTTCTTTCCATCAGATGAGCTGATCTTCTTGATGGCGACAAGGATGTAAATGTAAGAGATAAGGATGGTGAGGAACGAGCAGAGGCCTACCAGGGAAGAGATCACAAAAAGCAGGGTGCGGTTGAGCATGGTATTGGAGCAAGCAAGCTTTAGTATAAAGGGTACATCACAGAAGAAGTGGTCGACAACATTGGAGCTACAGAAGGGAAGGCGGAAGGTGGTGTGGGTGTGTATTGCACCGTTCACACATCCTGCCAGATACGAAGCCAGCACAAGCCCCAGACAGACTCTCTTCGACATGACAAGCGGATACAGCAGCGGATTGCAGATTGCTACATAACGATCATAGGCCATGGCAGCGAGTAGGAGGCACTCCACAGTGGCAAAGACAGCATAGAAATAAAACTGGGCAGCACACCCAGCAAATGAAATGGCTTTCTTCTCAGCCCAGAAGTTCACCAGTGTTTGGGGGACAATGACAGTGGAGTAGCAGATATCCGAGAAGGACAGGTTGCGGAGGAAAAAGTACATGGGGGTCTGAAGTTGCGAGTCAAGGCGAATCAATGCAATCATCCCCACATTTCCCAGAAGGGTGGTTACATAGATGGTCAGGAACACAACAAAAAGGGAAATGTGGAGCTGGGGATTGTCTGTGAATCCTGCAAGAATGAATTCTGACACAGTGGTCTGATTCCACTGGGTCATTGTCAGGGATCCTGGATCCTGTAGACAAAAGGGGAGAGAGAAGGACATGCATCTTGTCAATCCTTAAAGGTCAGTGATGTGTCACTCTTAAAATCATAAAATAATGAAGTTGGAAGGGGCCTATTGGTTCCAAACCGTGCTCAGTGCAGGAATACAAATTAAAGCAAATCTTCCAGGCAGTTGTCTATGTTTCTCTTGAATACCTCCCGTGTTGGAACACTCACAAACTCCTGAGGTAATTGTTTCCACTGTCTTACTGCTCTAACAGTTAGGAAGTTTTTCTTGTTATTCAGCCAAAATCTGGCTTCATGTAACTTGAGCCCATTGTTGCATGTCCTGCACTCTGGGATGATCGAGAACAGATCTTGCCCTTCCTCTGTATGACAGCCTTTCAAGTATTTGAAAAGTGCTATCATATCTTCCCCCAGTCTTCTTTTCTCAAGGCTAAACATACCCAGTTCTTTCAGTCTTTCCTCCCAGGGCTTGGCTTCTAGGCCCCCTGATTACCCTTGCTACCCTTCTCTGAACTTGTTTCAATTTGTCAGCATCCTTCTTGAAGTGCAGTGTCCAGAACTGGATGCAGAACTAACCAGTGAGGTCTAAAATGAGGCCTAGCCAGTGCCGAATTGAGGGGAACAAGTATCTTGTGGGATTTGGAGACCGTTAATGCAGCCTAAAACAGCATTTGCCTTTTTTTGTAGCAACATCACATTGTTGGCTCATATTCAGTTTATGATCTATGATGATTCCAAGATCCTTCTTGCTTGTAGTGTTGCTGAACCAGGTACCTCCCAATGTCCTGGATCAAAGTTCATGACACCCAAATACAGACTAAATAATACTCAAATACAGACTAAAATCTATAAATGTTATCTTTTTAGAGCAATTGTGGAAAATGCATCTGCAAGCCTTTGACGTTTTGATCTTATTATGCACTTTAGATTGCCTTTGGATATGCAAAGCACAAATATATTCAGATACCAATTAGATAGAATTCTATTGATTATTTTAAACTAGCATAAGTTCAGTGATGTAAACTGACAAGGAATACAAGCATAAACAGTGCTTGTGTTCCTTGTCACATGTCAAGTCACACAACTGGTGCACAAGGTTATAAGTGTGTGGGGTTTCCCCCTCTTTCTTTCTCTTCATGTATCTTTATGACATGTCAGTTATGTTCTGTTGATTTTGTTTGTTATAATGAAAAAAAATAACAACTGGTGCACAATGAGGAATCCAAGGGTGTCTTGTTAACTAGTAGCAATTCAGCACTATGACTTATATCACTGCATTTACACCAGCATAAATAACAAATAGTATTGAAGTGAGTGACTCAAAAAAGCATGACACAAAACTCTGAGAAGACTTTGTTGTTGTTGTTTAGTC